GAGAGCTTTGCGGCATGAGGAGCGAGACTTTCAAGGGCTTGTTTTCCCACTCTAGACCTTCTAGGGTTTCCTGGACGCAAGTGGTAGGCCAGGTGCCTTGACCCCTGGTAGTGTATAAAACGCCGCAGGTCAAAACCAAATCATTATGATAACGAGTAAATCATTCATGCAACAACGTACTGTGCGATCATACGCCATGGCGACGAAGTCATCGTAAGGCTTCAGAGGAGGGACGATGTAACCTTCTTTCAGGTCATCCGGCCGCGTGTTCAACCGCAATCCACTCCCATCAGCCCCAGTGACGCTGGGAGGAGGAGCATACTCATTCAATCCCCCAATTGAGACAACTCCACTCCGTCCATACCGTACAATTTCTTTGGCCAACCCTTTGGCGCTCCCAGCTCCAATGAGTAACTGAAAGGATTGTCTTTCTTCTCGCAGATAATCATCATGAGGCTTGATGCATTTGACTGGCGGTAACGTGTTGGAATAGCTTTCAACAATCTGACGGCAGAAAGGGCAGCGGACTCCTTTATCAGCCTGCATGCAACGAGACGTAAGGATTCACGTTCATGAATAATCCAGTTGCAACCATGGCTACTAACAAACAACCACACAGAAACTGGTTAGCACCAGGACCTTATAAACAGCGGACTGTCTGAGCTTCTGGACGCAATCTGCGCACGATTTGTGGCGGCAAGGAACGAAATACAAATCCGCAGACGTGTCTTCGCAACATATCGCACAGAACTCGCCATCAGAACCTTCTGACTTCTCCTCATCAAGCTTCAAAGACGAACGCAAACCATCAACCAAAGAATCGTGCGCTGTCCCTCCCTTAACTTGCGCTTCTTGAGATGCAAGCAATCTGTTCAGGAACGACATGATGCTGGCGGTTCGCTGACCAGCTTGTATTTGCTAAGTGGCTACTCTGGCTCGGAATCTGGTGCTCGATGATTGTGAATGTGGTGGTGCTGTTTTGGGAAGAGTAGCAAAGCTGTGTGGTATCTGTTGATCTGAACCGCTTCGCCAAAGTGTATTCGATCATTTGTTGCAACCACCAAATCGGCTATTGATATTTGCCACAGCCGGTTGTGTTTCTAACGGAACACCCACTAGGGGAAAAGTTTGGAGCTGAACTAGAATGTTCCTACCCTCGCTTTCCCCTTCCAGGACTTGAATCTCATTTTTGCCTGAACGCCATTCTCACACGACCCACATCCCAGCTCCGCATTTCCGGAATGAGTTCAGGTGATCAGCCGTCAAGTGCGAGTGAGGTAAATGATGCAACCATGTCAGGTGTAGGCGAAGCGAAGGTCACAAGCACACCAGATGAAGACGCCCACGCCGTATTATCATCTGCTCTCATAAATTCAGCCGTTGAGCTCAACACATGGAGCTCCATCAAGTCTTTGCGCGGATTAAGCGTATCGACCCCACCGGAATCACCTGTTACTGCAGCTCTTGCCTTTTCTGAAACTTACTGGGTATGTCTGCCGTTCTTGCTTATGTCATCCCAGCCTAAGTAAAATGCGCTGCAGTCTGACTGCTGACAAATGCGCAGAAGAAGAACATGCTAACCTATGGAGACAAAGTCCCTGATGGTTTCGTTGACGTTTGGGGAGCAGCCGAGCAGTTTCCGTTGTCATCATCCATCATCCTTGACAACTTCCCAGCGACTGTTGAGGCTGTTCTAGTGGACAGAAAGTCAGACGCTGAGCTCATCCTTCTTGAACGCAAAGCAATTTTAGTTGATAGTCCAGCCAGTCCTTCCGGCGCCTGCACAACTGCAAAACTCGGTTGGCGAGGCATCGCAGTTCGTTTGGCAGAGCTTGTTGCAAACCGTATGGGAGGAACAGCAGACTCAGACCAGTCGCTGCAGTCTGACTGGCGATCTGTATATTGGAAAATCAAGAGCGCATTTCGGAGTCACTACATTTCACTTGGCTTGATTACTTCTGGATTAATCAGGCACAGGGTCCTTCTCTTTAAGGTATGTCAAACAGTTCTACCATTCGCGTTTTGCCTGGGTGAGCTTCATTGGCACGTGTTGTCTTCCAGGTGCTGGCGGATAGAGTTGGCGTACCTTGCTGCATTGTCCGTGGTCGGTTTTACACTGGCACAAAGGATGATGCAAGGGCCAAGGTTCGAGACGAAAATGGTTCAGAATATGTGGTTGATCTAATGAAAGCGCCAGGCCTTTTAGTCCCGGTTACAAATCTGGAAACGCCTACAATTTCACCAATTGCAAGTCCTGTTGGTGAATACTGTGACGTGGGGACAGCTCTTTTTCCAGCGTTGGTGGCATCCATGGCGAAATTACAGGGGAAGGATGGTACGTGTACAACACTTCATTTTTAGCATGTTGACCCTAGACTCTGACTGAAGTCACTGTAACAGGACCAGAACCTGATTCTCGGAAAACACGTTTTGGGCAAACGCCTCTGAGTCATCAATCTGGTGATGGAAGTGGATCAGATGTCGGAAGCAGCAGCCCAATGTTTCGTCCCGAAGACAGGAAGAACCGACGCAGATCACCTTCCTGGACGGATGGATGGGGTTCCCCACAAGTTCCCATGCTTGTTGCAGATGTTGCCAAGGAGAATCCAAGATTTGCTCAGAGGCTAAAGGTATACAAACTTTCATCATGACAGACAAATGCATGTCATCGACTCATGTTGAGACTTCCTTTCTCAGGCTGTTCTGCAGTCTCCTGATAAAGAAAAACGACAGTTGTTTTCAGACAATCAGGTGACGAGTGTCTTATTGTGATCTTTCATCATCATTTCTGCTCATCTTGACTGACCAAAACAACTCAATCTGTTCAGGCTGTAGAAACAGAGGAAGCAAGGTTGGATGCAGGTAATTCATGAGGGAAAGCTTGAAATCAAGCCAGCCGAAGTGTTCATGTGCATTTTTCAACAGCAGAGTGTAATCATGGCAGATAAAACCGACAACCACGGTGAAAATGCTTCGCAGTCAGTATGTGAAGACCCTAACGATTTCAGTTTCTCAAAAGAGATCAAAATATATACAATGGATGGCTATTTGATTCCAAGGGGGGCAGTGTCACTTGGCGAACGAGTGGGACTAGGTATGTGATGTGCCTTAAACAATCAAAGCTCCCATATTCAACGTTAAAATACAAACTGCCTGGCAATTGCAGGGTCCTTTGGAGAAGTGTTCAAGGGCGAATGGAATGGCTTTGTACGAACCTTTGTTCTGGATTTTCTTGGTCTGATTGGCAGATTACACTCTGTTAACACTCGCTTTTGGCAGGAGGTGGCAGTGAAGAAGCTGATAGATCAAGAAATCCCAGCTGACGCTGTTGAAGATTTCAAGTCTGAGGTACTGTATTCATATGGCCGAATCCTTCCCGCATTGTCATAATTTTGATGTACCCAGGATAATCTCACTCTATCGCTGAGCGCAGGTTGCCATGATGCATCGGCTACGTCATCCGAACATTCTGCTTTTCATGGGTGCAATCATTGACCCTCCACATCTATCAATTGTGACAGAATTTCTCCCACGGTATGTGTGTTTTGTGGCATTCCATGGTTGTCAACCCTTGTGGTTAACTTCTTGGAGTGGCAGGGGAAGTATTTTCCGATTGCTGACAAGGCCAAATGCATCTTCAAGCATGGATGAGCGTCGACGATTAAAGATGGCACTGGATGTGGTGAGTTAGTGTATTGTAGGATCCCTTTCTACAGTAAACGCAATTTGAGTGACGTTATGTTTGCAGGCAAAGGGGATGAATTACCTTCACTGCTGCAACCCTCTTATCGTTCACAGAGACCTCAAATCTCAAAATCTTCTTGTGGATAAGAATTGGGTCGTGAAGGTGAAACATTTTTTTATGTGCGTAATTGCTTGGACTGCGAAACGTGCAGTGACACTGACACAGGTGCATTCTAGGTTTGTGACTTCGGGCTGTCAAAGATCAAGCATCAAACGTATCTCTCATCAAGGACTGCAGCTGGAACAGTATGTATGACCCATTCTGCTTCACTGTTGCTGTGTCTGAGTTTTGATCATCATGTGTCATCATATGCAGCCAGAGTGGATGGCCCCGGAAGTGCTGCGCAATGAACCTACAAATGAGAAGTAGGTTGTCTGCTTGTGCTCCAGCCACTCCTGCCTAAACCTCGGTCCCCTTTTTCCACTCTTTTTCACACCGCTTGTTCAGTAAATGCGTGCTTTCTATCCAACTTAAGTTGTTTGTTTTCAGGAGCGATGTTTACAGTTTTGGTGTAGTCCTTTGGGAGCTCTCGACAATGCAACGCCCATGGAGGGGCTTGAATGCCATGCAAGTTGTTGGAGCTGTTGGATTCCAGCAAAGGAGACTGGATATACCAGCATCAGTTGATCCTGCTGTTTCAGAAATCATCAGAGCTTGTTGGGCAGAGTATGTCCCACAACTTTTTGCGTTTTCCCTTGAACTCTCATTTCTAAGCTCCCACTTTCTCCCAAGCAGGAAACCTTCTGAAAGGCCATCATTTTCAATGATAGTGCATGAACTCAAAGCCCTGCATAAAAAGTGGACTTCTCCAGTGAGCCCAAGGTCACCTTCATAAGTGGAACTAGTTTGTGCTGGTAGTCAAGCCACCCTCCAGTGCTGTTATGTCTTCTGTTTGAGAGGGGTTGCGCATGTGAATGCATAGCTGGTGAATGCTCTATAACACTGTCATGACAATATCAATGCTGCAAGTGAAGTTACCGTACTACTGATGAAAAATGCTCTATGCACTTGCTGATTCTGGCATTTTGAACCAAACATGATGAGGCACAAGTGACCCCTCGTGCTTTGCCATATATTGAGCATTCATCCTGCAGAGAAGCAATGGGCGCGTAGACAGGAGAACAAAATGAAGCTGCCAATCTCATCATGCATGCGGCCACATAATTTGCTGAGGAAGAGGTTGGGAGATAATGAGGGTCTACGTCACAAGGGTAGCACAGATGGGGGATTGACAGCATGACAGGCAGAAGTTAGCTCACTTGTCCACGTCAATGGGGCGCAGGGGATCGAAGGGTTCTGGGGTAACTCCAGCTGCAAATCCAGAAGCAGGCGCTGCTGCTGCACTTTGTGGTGCTGGTGTTGTGGCGGGAGATGCTGCCGCTGCAGCTGGAGCAGCTTGAGCTTGAGGCCAAGCCTGGCACCACAGTAAAAACAATGTGAATACAGAGAGTCCCATCCAAGCATGCAGTCAAGCCAGTATATTATGAGCTAAACAGTAATGACTGCTTGAAAATCTCTCATGTGCACATACCTGTTGCTGCCCGTAGCCCCCATATCCTCCATATCCACCATATGAGGCATATGCTCCCTGGTTGTAACCCCCTGAAGCATCGTAACCACTGTACCCTCCGTAGTAACCAGTGTTACCGGCAGCAGCGCCCCAACCACCTGCCGCTGCTGCATTGGGATCGTGCTGCTGCTGCGGCTGCTGCCACTGAGAGCCTTGCGAGGGGTATGTCGAGGTACGCTGTGCAAAGAACCACCATAAAAACAGAGACAATGGTCGTTAGCAGCAAGGAGAGGCATTAGAGTAGTAAGGCTAGAGACGAAACGAAAATAGCGACGAAACAAACGCATGCGCATACACAAACACATGCTCATGCACGTGACCATACACATACGCATCGAGATGCATATGCAAGAAACATATATAAACCATCTAACGCATGAGGCAGTGGTACCTTTGAGGCAGGATTGCGTCCCCATGAGAGCCGCACAGACTGCTGCCCAATGACCGTGCCGTGCATATTCCTCAGCGCCTCCTCTGCCTGTGATCTGACAATGGGGGGAGGGGGGGAGCAGGGGGGGGGGGGGGGGGGAGGAGAGGAATCAGGACAAAAAGCAGGAAACAACACAGAATTAGCTTCGGAGGTGCCTCAAAAAGGGGGTGGAAAAGAAGGCCGGATGATGGTTACTACACACTGGGGGGATGCAGGAAGGATAAGAGTAAGAGCAATTTAAATGACCCATGCACCAGTGCACCAAAGCACCCATCCATCCAACCATGCACCCACCGATGTCGGAACTGCACGAAGCCACAGCCCTTGCCGAATGGGATCTTCACGTATACCAGCTCGCCCCACGGCCCAAACACCGCTCTCAGCTGCTCGTCCGTCACACTCTGGTCCAAACCTCCCACAAAAATCTGCCGTGAAACAGGACGGGGGCGGGAAGAAGGTTGCTTTAAGCTTGACTCAAAACACAGCGACCCCGGTTTGCCCCACGGCCCAAACACTGCTCCCAGCTGCCCATCCGTCACACTTTGGTCCAACCCTCCCACAAATATCTGCCATGGGATGGGATGGGCAGTGCCGCAGTGAACAAGGAATATCGAAGGAAATGGAGGCGGAAGATTCGAACCAAACACCACTCACACCACCCAAGCTTGGCCCACGAACCAAACACCGCTCTCAGCTGCTCGCCCGTCACACTGTCACCTACCACCACACAGTCTGCTCACTCACTGTGGGGCTGGGGCCCCAATCGTGCACCTCCGCCTTGCCCAGCCAACCCACAAATTGCTGACTTTTACAGTTGCTGGTTCAACGAGAACGGTCTGCCCACTCACCGTAGTGTTGCTGGGGTCGTCCTCCCCCTCGGGTCCCTGTGGCTGGGGCTGGGGACCCGATCTTCCCCCTTTCCCGCCCGACCGTGCTCTTCCACCTTGCCCGACCAACCCACACATTGTGCTGACCGTAATTGTTGCTGAGGTGTTTAACGGTCTGCCCACTCACCGTGGTGTTGGAAGGGTCGTCCTCTCCCCCGGGCCCCTGCGGCTGGGGCTGGGGCCCCGCCCGTGCACCTCCGCCTTGCCCACCCGGCGCACCACCTGAAAGAAGGGGAAATTCCAGGTCGTAAAGAAAGGGGATGCTTTGGGAGAGGAGCTCCGGTCGGGGCTTCTTGTAAGTGGCGATGCTGATGCGCATGGGGCATGAGAATCACAGCACATCACATTCTCACCCTACCCCACCGTACTCTACCCACCTTCACCCATTCCACCCCAGGCCCCCTCCTCTCTTCCGCTCACCTTGCCCCAGCGCTCAGAGCTTCTTGGGAGTGGTGATGCTGATGCGCAAGGGGCATCGGAGGAGCACATCACACATCTCCACCCTACAGCCATTACTGCCCCAGCCACGAGCAGGAGTGCTTCTTACCCTACCCCTTCCTGCCGCATCCTGCCACCTCCTGCCTCACCCTACCTATACATGGGCAAACGAGTCGAGTTTTTCCTCGCCTCGTTCGAGGGACTCGAAAAGCTCGAGTTTCGAGTTCGTTTTTTTGTTGGAAAAACTCGGACGCCCGAGTCGAGTTTCACTCGCAAGGAAAAAAAAGCTCGCGGAAAACTCGGTTTTTCCACGAGTTTTTTTACTACTCGCGAGTTTTTTAAACTCGCGAGTTTTTCCTATCCAGTTTCGAGCTTAAGAAACTCGCGCGTCACCTAGGTCAGATACAAATGTAAAAAATGTTCATTTTTCAGATCTGGTTTCCAAGATCTAAAAGGAACCACCATTTCGTAGGGTAGTTTCTAGGTGTTCTACCACACCTAGGAACGTCCGCTCAGCCTACGTGTTCTTCTTAAACAAAATCGTGTTTTTCTAGGGTTTCAGTCAGGTGGAAGGCTAATGACACCCGCAAGCATTATAACACAGTTCAATTTCGGACCCATACGTCTTCTCCCTTTGAATTAGACTAAGTTAAGGTGAAAACAGCTAATTTGCACGGTTGGTTTTGGAGTGACTGCGTGGAATAGCATGGTGCGTGGTAGATCGGGTGCAGGGAGAGGAGGGAGAGTACGTGGCGGAGGCGGTAGGGGGGCAGGACGAGGCGGTGAGGATGTCAATGGAGATGACATCGAGCTCCACGCCCTCCCCAGATCGGAGCAAAGCCGTTATCAAGCCATTGCAACAGCTGCGGACGCTGCAAAGGTGTTGCAAGCGTCCGCCAAGGGTGGTGGGCGAGGTAGAGACATGGCTTCAGGGGGTTCATCCGCCGCAAGTACATCTGCAGGGGCCGAGCAGGGGGCGGTAGGGGACGTTGCTGTCCCCATGGTGGCGGGGTCTGCCATGGCTGGAATGGGGGTTGATGGGGCACGGCAGGCGGATGATAACCACAAGGGTGGGGGGGTTGGGGGCGGCGGACCCATGCCTCGGGAGGAGGTGCAGGCGGGGAAGGCGGAGGGATTGCGGAAGGCGTGGGGGGAGGCAGCAGAGGGGGGTTGTAACAGAATGGTTTAGCAATGCATTCATGGAAGAGTTGTCCGGCCAAGTCATGAGGGAGAGTGAGGGTGGGAATGATATTTATGTAAAGGGGGGAGGGGAGGAGCATGGGGATGAGGCAGATGAGGAGGAGGAGGAGGAGGAGGAGGAGGAGGAGGAGGAGGAGGAGGAGGAGGAGGAGGAGGAGGAGGAGGAGGAGGAGGAGGAGGAGGAGGAGGAGGAGGAGGAGGATAAGAAGGTGACATCGCAGAGGAAGAGATGTACAATGCTGAGGATGATGAGGTTGAGGAGGATAGGGAAGAGGACTTTGTTGGATTGGAAAATGAGGAAGAGGGGGCCACAAAAACACCACGAGGTCTACAACGGGCTACAAAGGCGGATGCGAAGGGGAATCGTGCTATGGTCGACCAGGAACCTTCTAAGAAGCGTGGTGGCGGATTGAGGCAGGATCGCGGTGGGGGAAAGGTTGGAAGAGCGGGTGGGAGAGCGCGTGGAGGAGGGGGACGAGTTGCAAAGAGGGGGGCTGGTGGGAACGGAGGCGTGGGTTGTTCTCAGCCACGTCCACCACCCAATGCTGCTCCTACCGCGCCTGCAGCTGTGGTTAATCCAAAGGCCGCCAGAAAGCCTAGAAAGTCCCGTTCAGCTGCGACACCATGTTTCGAGAATTTAGGCGCCAAGGACGAAAAACGCCGTTGTCTCAAGTGCAGCAGGCTCATTTGGCACACAGTTGTGAGCATACCCTCGCCCACCCGCCTTGCTAATTCAGCCGTGAGACGTGAGCTGGACTCTTATTTTTGGCCAACACAGTAGTACCCGCCCCCCAATCCTTGCCTCCCACTTGTACCCGCCCCCCAATCCTTGCCTCCCCCTTGTACCCGCCCCACTCGCCTTCACAGGCCAATGCTCCAGTTGATGCGCCACCGCTGCGCATTTCTGCTGAGCAGTGGGACGCGCTTGAGGAACTTGCAAAGTTCGTCATGCCCTTCAACGCTGTGACTTTGGCAGCGGAGGGGTCCCTGTACCCGACTGCGAGCCGGGTGGTGCCGCAATACAACGAGCTTATGGATTCGCTCGAGAAGATCAGGGACAGCACCACCTCCCCTCCCTCCGTGATCATGCGGAAGTGCATCGACGCTTCCTTGGGCAAGCTGCAGGAGTATTACTACAGCAGCAGTGATGAGCTGTGTGTCGCTACCTTCTTGGACCCGGCATTCAAGCTCGGGTACTTAGAGCTCGAGGACGGGAGCAGCAACATGGGCAGGGCGGTATCTCACGTGCCCTCGGAGGAGGTACTGGCTCTTGTGCGTGCGAAGTGGCAGCCATACAAGGAGAAGGTGCGGCGCGAGCAAGAGGCGGCTACTGGGAAGGGAAGAGGGGAGCTGATGGTGGTGGGCTTGGGCGGGACTAGCAGCACAGCGGCCGGGGGTAGTGGCAGCAGCAGCGGGACGACTCGGAGGGGGCTGAACCTGTTTGGGGGCCAGAATCATGATTCGGGAGGACTCGTGGCACGCCTGACGGCGTTGCGTGCGAAGCAGGCAGCAGAGAACAAGGATGAAATCCAGATTTACCTTGAGGAGCCCATGCAGCCCCTATCCACAAACCCCCTTGCATACTGGCGTCGTAGGGGTGATTTGGAGGGGCTGCAGGCTATGGCAAAGGACTACTTGGCCATTCCAGCCACCTCTGCTGCCACTGAGAGGCTCTTCTCACAAGGCAGGAACCTCATCACATGGCAGCGGCACAGGTTGGGTGCTGAACGCGTTGAGGCATGCATGACCTTGAAGTTATGGATCGCTTTGTACCCGGGCACCCCATTGGGAAAGGCCGCCATGGTGGCCATGGTGGATGACAAAGTGGGAGTGGACCTGGATGAGGAGTTGTGAGCGAAGGGCCCCATTTTTGCATGTTCAGATCAGGATAGTAGACATCTTTATTTATTAGAATAGCTATTCTCTAAATTAATCTCCCTCTCTGACGCTCACCAGAGCGCTAGACTTGGCCTTTCTTCTCAATATGCTTGGTACATTGCTGCTGGTTTGTAACCGTTGTCTAGGTTTCAGCAGGTGCTTGAATGCGTGGCTTTTATCTGCGGGAGTGGGCTGCTGGAGGTGTTTCCCCACACCTCTTGTCAGGACACTATTGCACCAGGCGTTGTGCAGCACGGTTGGGGTGTGAAAGTGTGGGGGTGATGTAGGACTGGAATGCTGGTGGGTGTTGGGTTGAGGGATGTCGACCTCAAAATTGTAGTTGCTATGTTGAGTGGGCGTGGATGGACCTTATTTCTGTGCACCCTCTGGCTGGTGCTGTGTGGCTAAAGTGGTGGCTGTGGGTGCTGGTTAAGTTCGAGTCGAGTTTTACTTGACTCGAACGAGCTTTTTCAAAACTCGTACGAGCTTTTGAAAAACTCGATATTATGGGCGATTTTCGAGTTTGATTTTTGGCAAAAAAAACTCGACAATTAAAACTCGCGAGTGCAACAAAAAACTCGCCAAAACGAGTCAAGTTTTACTCGACTCGCCACTTGCCCATATTTAACCCTACCCCATCCGACCCTCACACCCCTCCAGTCCCTCACCTTGCCCCGGCGCTCCAGGCTTCTTGGGAGTGGCAACGCTGATGCGCATGGGGCGGGAGGAGCACATCTGGCCGTTCATCTCGTGCAACGCGCGGTCCCGCTCCTCCTCCGAAGAGAATCGCACGAAGCCGTAACCCTTGGTGCGCCCACTCACATTGTCCACCACCACCTGATGCCCAGTGGGGGAAGAAAGGGCGGATAGAACAGGAAAGGGGAGGGGGGAAGCGGGGGTTGGGGAACAAGGCGGTGGGGGATGGAGGGAAAGTAAGTTCTCTGATAAAAATGGCACAAAGCCATGTCCCTTGGTGCGCCCACTCACGTTGTCCACCACCACCTGATGTCCGGTGGGGGGAAGGGAGGTTGGTGGGGGGAAGGGAGGTTGCTGGGAGGGGGAGGTTGGTGGGGGGAGGAGAGGGAGAAGGGGGAGGGGTAAGGGAGGCCCTTGGGGAAAATCGCGCAAAGCCACACCCCTTGGTACGCCCACTGACATTGACCAGCACCACCTGTTAAGTAGAAGGGGAAGGCAAAGAGGGGGACAGGCGCGGGGAGCGGGGGGGGGGGAGGGAGGAGGTGGGAGATTTTGATGGGAAAGGAGAAGAAGGTAAGTCCAGAGGAAAGCTGCACGAAGCGATACCCCTTGTTCGCCCACTTCTGTCCTCAACCCTAAACCTTAAGCCCTCAAGCTCTAAGTCGTTAAACCCTCAAGATTAAAGCCCTTCCCCACCCCTCACCTTGGCGCCTCTGACAGAGGCGTAGCGGCAGCGGAAGGTCTCGCAGAGCAGATAGTCGTTCACGTCTGGAGCCAAGCGTCACTTGCCAGACACACCACTCCATCCACACGCCCCCCTCACCCCCACACCCCTCTCGCCCTAAACCCTAAGCCTGGGATCCAGAACCCTATCCCCTTCCCCGCCCCTCACCTTGGCGCCTCTGACAGAGCCGTAGCGGCAGCGGAAGGTTTCACAGAGAAGGTAGTCGTTCACGTCTGGAGCGAGGTCGCCCACGAATATGGAGAACTCCTGCCCGTCCGCTGGGCGGCCGCCACTGGGGTGTTGGGAAAGAAGAGGGGGAGAGGGGGGGAGAGGGGGGGGAGAGGGGGCCAAGGATGGAAGGAGGAGTTAAAAAGAAGTCGTTCACGTCTGGAGCGAGGTCGCCCACGAATATGGAGAACTCCTGCCCGTCTGCTGGCCACCCACCACTGGTACAAAGGTGGGATGCGGGTGAGGGGGGGTTGGGGGGGGAAGTGATAAAAGGTTGTGCAGAGCAGATATTCATTCACATCTGGAGCCAGTTCACCCACGAGTAACGCCTCCATACACGGGGAGAACTCCTGCCCGTCTGTTCGCCTGCCCGTCTCCACGAATATGGAGGAATCCGCTCTCGCATTTCCCAACCTTAACTCCCCCCTTCTCGCCCCCTCAACAGCCTTTTTCTCTGGCCCAGTTGATGCAGAACGGCTGTTGCTCAGCCTGAGGCATCGGCATGCCTTGGTAGGTCGCTAGCAGCTGCGCTCTCAGTATCAGGTACCTCCACCCACCCACCCCAACCCATCCACACACCACGCCTTCAATACCATTACTTCACGCATTCCCCATCCTTTCCCCCGGATAATCCCCGCCCTTTTCCCCCACGCCTCCCCCCTCCTCACCATTTTTCCCCGGCGCCCAACGCGGCCCAGTTGATGCAGAAGGGCTGCTGCTCCGCCTAAGGCATGGGCGTGCCCTGGTAGGTGGTCAGAGCGTGCGGTGCTCCCAAGCACCTCCACCCACACACCCCGCCTCCCCACACACCCCACGCTTTCCCCACCCTTACTTCACACATTCCATGTCCTTTTCCCCGCAAATTCCCCACCCACAACCCCCCCCCCGCCCTCACCCTTTTTCCCCGGCGCCAAACGCGGCCCAATTGATGCGGAACGGCTGCTGCTCCGCCTGAGGCATGGGCGTGCCCTGGTAGGTCGCTAGCGCCTGCGCCGCTGCTGCATGAGTCGTGAACTCCACGAACCCGTACCCCTCGGGCTGCCCTGTCGCCCTGTTGCGGATGATTTTAGGGTTAGCAACCTGCGGGGATGGACGGGACGTTGTGGGGGGGCGGGGGGGTTGGAGGGGAGAGGTTATTAGAGCTTGCTGCACTGCTGCATGAGTCGTGAACTCCACGAACCCGTACCCCTCGAGCTGCCCTGGCCCCCTATTGCGAATGATCTTCGCATTTGCAACCTTTGGGGATGGACAGGGGGTAAGTACCACGGTAAAAGGGGGGGAGGTAGCGGGTTTGGGGAGGGATAACTAGATAGCAGTTCAATTGAACTCCACTAGCTTTTACTCCGCCGGCTGCCCCGTTGCCCTGTTTTGAATGATCCATGCATCCCCAAATATCAGAATAGAACAGATCAGAATACCAGGCGTTGCAAGCGTTGCGAGAGAAGTGTTTCGCCCGTCTAACTTTGCAAATCATTGCGAGAGAGATCTTATAGAAAATTTAAAACGCTTTGACACCTCAAGCCCTCGTACGTGGCAGAAAAGGTAGGTCTCGACGCCGATCCTTCAAATCCTTCTTTTTTTAACCGAAACGCTTGTAGAGGTCGATGGAACATTGACTGTCCACGCCTGTAGAACGAAAAGTCCCATTGATGGAACGCGTACTAAAAAGCGCCTCAACAATACAGTACTGGAGGTCTCTGAGAGAGAAATTATTTATTTATGACAATTTCTCGCTTATACACGCATGCGGACGCGAACACGTTCCAGAGGTTCCCGTCCGTCCGCTACTGCTGAATCGTAAAATTACCCGATAATTCTAGAGGTCAAAGGCACGCCAACTGACCTGGCCCGTGGACGCAAACGCGTTCCATAAGTAAGTCTCGTCCATCCAGTACTGCAGATCCCCCACCCACAGCGTCCGTGGCTCATCCGCTCCGCCTGCGCCAGCGCCGGCGCCGGTCGCGGCTTGTGCTCCTCCCCATTGACCCGCGGGGGGTGCTGCTGGCTGCATGCTGGCGTTGCGCGTATGAGCGAGGTACGACGACGGGACGGACGGGGGGAAGGAAATGCAGACACAAAAATATGTCGCTAAGAAGAACCCTAATAACATCAGGACAGGATACGGAAAAAAATCCTAGTGGGAGTGTGGGATGGGAAGAGATGTTCTCGTTATAAAATCATTTGGTCGCGTGATATTCCCGTCTAGTTTCCTTACTGTGTCTTCCTTATCTCCTTCGGAACTGAACAAGGCTAGTGCTGTGAAATGATCCTCTGCAAAATGTTCCAAACATTCAGAAGGTCCAACGAAGTGCAGCTTTCATGCTCTACACTAGGAGTACCTGAATCAAAAGCTACCGTATGGCCCCGGATAGTAGCGCATATGCGCTTATAAAAAAATCATTTTTTTTAGGGGGGGCGCTTGTAATTGAGTAACGGCCATAAGCGCCGGCGCTTATATAGTGAAAGATAAGAAATTATATATTTAGAGCACCAAATTGTTCATTTTCTTCTTGCCATTTCAACCAGGCCCCTAGATTCGTTTTGAGGTAGTTTGAGGCCTCAGAGTACACCCCTCCTGGAACTCTGTCTGTCAGAGGTGCCTCAAAATTTTAGTCTAAAAAATTGAGAAAGCTTGCTTTCTTATTCTTATCAATTGGCATCGTTCTCATTACAAATGAGGTCTCTGAGACATGGGCAGCGGGGGCCTCCGGTTGCGTACGAGTGCCTCTGAGTGTTGTGCCGACGACGCTGCATGCGTCAGGTCTTGTAGGTTACGGGAGGCTTCGATAAGAGGCTCGACGTATGGTGTAACATACATTTCCTTTGCTGAGTCGCTTCGCCATCTGCCCAGCCGTTTGAAGACCCTGTCTGGCACGCCCGTGTTGGCTGCTACTGTGGCTGCACCTTTTCGGAAAGAATGTGTGCCGAGCTGCAGGTCTCCAAGGCCCACTTTTGCGAAGGCTTCCTTACACCAGTTCCGGATCGTGGTGTATGAGGGTGGCCTTGCTTGGCCCTCGCTGGTTGAAGCGTGGCCGAAGACCCGAATCAATGGTCCCTCTGACTGTGGGCCATAGCCGGCCAGTTGGATGAAGCGTCGGGTGCAGCGCACTGGGCAACAAGGGTCTGTCGTTGCTGCAATGGGAATCCAAGTGCCATGACCAGCCTAATCGGTCTTGGAGTGTGGTATGAGAATCCACATGACCTCGTCGTCGAATTGGATGTCTTGCCATTTTATGGCTGCCAGGTCCGAATATCGCAGGAATCCTGAGTACATGAGGATGGGGATCAACCCTTTCTGAAACGTCGCTGGATCGTCGGACTGCAAGTAACTCGCGGCCATGTCCCGGACTTGTTGGATCGATACGGGTTCTTTCATACGAGTAGGGCGAGGGCAGTGTCGTTTTGCACAGTCACGGACTTGGGTGGTGAACGGTCCGGTTGTCGGGCATTTGCTCCCAGTCATGCGATGAGCGAAGCTGACCGCCGAGCACGTCAGCTGCACTACGGACAGGGTGGCTTTGCGTCGGATTGCGTGTACCAGGTAGAGCGCGAGGGTCATGTCGGAGCCGGAAGAAATGGGAGGTTCACTTTTGTGCAGAAGGCTCGAAACTTGGCCCAGTATGGTTCGTATGTCCGGATCGTAGAATCGGCTCGAGATTGCGCGAGCATGTTGATCATTTGGTCGTGTAACTTTGGGAGCAAATCTGAACACAGGGCGTTGATGTTTTGAATTAGTCAAATGCCATTCTCAGTGCAATAATTGGGCTGTGCGGTAGTCCCATGCCTGAGAAAGCATTGGAATGGGACCCTGCGTCTAGGCATTGGCTTCCGTGTGTCAGAGGGATGTGCGCGTGGATGTGTGGAGCCCAAGTGCATGGGGAGGGTTGCAAAAGTGGCCACCAGCTTGCACCTGGCCAGTGCGGAACTATCAGTGTGAGTGATGCATGGGTGCGTTGTGCGTGATGGAGGACGGCTGGGACCAGTTGGGGCGGGGGGAAGGCGAAGTTGTTTTCGGGTGTCCACGCGATCGAGAACGCATCAACTGCGATGGCTTCTGGGTGGGGAATCTTTGTGCAGAAGCGCGGCAGTTGGGTGTTGCGGGAGTTTGCGAAGAGGTCGATGGAGTGGGGCCCCCAACGACGTTCCAAGATGCGGAACCACGGCGTTTTCAGCGCGTAATCGTCGTGGTCGACCATTTTTGAAAGTTCGTCGGCGTGTGTATTGAGCTCGCGCGGAATCCATTCGATGATCAAGCGCGTGCCAAGCTCCATGCATGTTCGGATGATGCTCTTGCATGCCGTTGCGAGGTCGGGGCTGTGAGAGCCGCCTTTTCGAAGGATGAAGAACACGCCCTGGTTGTCCACCCGCACGAGAACGTGTTTTTGCTTGATGTTAGTCACGTATGTTTGGAGCGCCCAAAGGACGCCTTTGATCTCGCGTCGCGTGCTGGACGTTCCTTGTAGCGGCTCTGACATGGTTGCGCTAGCTTCTTCGAGGCCGCCCGGAAATGTGGTCAGAGTGGCGCCCCAACCATGAGAGCTGGCATCCACATGGATTACTGCGTCGTAGCTGTTCCTGACGTGAAAAGGTGCGCCGTTGAAACGGTCAAATTCCTCGAGCCAAAATTGGAGCTCCTCTGCTGCAGATGGGGGGATAACCACGCTGCTTTTCCATGACGGTGCTTCGCTGATCACTTGTAACATAGCGTGGCTGAATGCGCGAGCGGTCGCGCCAAGTGCGACACCCATCGATGCAAGCATGCCAGTGATTCTGGCCACGTGGCGGACCGGGACTGGTCGGCATGCCCTGCTTGCGCTCAGGAGGTTCCGGATGGTTGCATGTAGTGAGGCTCGTCGGTCGGGACCGATGGAGAATCGGCCGGTGTCGGTCTCCAGTTCTACGCCCAGGAATCGGAGATGTTGCGATGGTGACAGTTGTGATTTCTTCGCGTTTATCACAAGGCCTGCCTCTTTGAGGTCCAATGTCACCTGCTGGCAGATTGCTTGCGCATCGGCTTTCGACTGGCAGAGGAATGAGATGTCATCCACGTAAGGTACGACTCGGATGCCTTGTTCTCGCCAACGCCGAGCTAGTTGCTTGATGAGCTGTGTAAAGACGAATGGAGCCGTCGCGAGGCCGAATGGTAGTGAACGAAATGCGTATGTGCGCTTATCGAATTTGAAGCCAAGGAACTTCCAGCACGATGGGTGGATGTCGATGTGATGGTAACCGGATTTGAGGTCAATGGAGAACATCCAGTCCCCAACGCGCGCCAGGTCGGCGACACGGCTGAGCCCCTCGTACTTGAACTTGGGGACAATCAAGTTAGCGTTGACCTTTCTCAGATCAAGAATGAGCCTGCATTTGTCTTTTTTTTCGACCACGTTAAGTGGACTTATGCACTTGAGCTCCGTTGCGGCCATCGGAACTGCCGCTCCCGTCTCTATGAGTTCTTGGATGGCGGTACGTGTGGACGTAGCATGCGTGTTTGCCCCGACATGATTGCGATCGTGGAAAGGTTGTGGTGGGCCGTGGCTCCATGGCAACCAGTAACCCTTGGCGATGACGGAGAGAACGAGGCTGCTGGGGCACCATGAGCTCCACCACGCAAAGGTCGCGCGAAGACGACCGCGCATCTGTGTAATAGTTCTGTCTGTAACGGCAAATTCGTACGGGTCATCGTAGCATGTCGCCTCGCACCGTCGTGCTCCTGTGCATGGGAGGCCAAGTGGTATACGGGTTGAGTATTCCATGTTAAAGCATGTGTGTGCATATACATGTACGGGCAACCATTGATCAAATGTGTGAAGAAAATAACAACCGACGGAAATGTCAACGAATGTGTCGGGCGCGAAACGGCGCTTCTTCTTCTCCTCGTTTCCTACTTTTCTTTTTCTTTTTTTCGGCCCAGCGTGCACTCGGTAGGATGTGGTTGTGCCTGCCCTTAGTGCATGGGAGATGATGCCTATGGCCATGGACACACTTGTCCATTGTGTTTCTCTTATTCTCTCTTGTTCTCTCTTTCTCTTTCTCTCTTTCTCTCTCCCACTCTCTCTCTCTCTCTCTCTCTCTCTCTCTCTCCCTCTCTCTCTCTCTCTCTCGCTCTCTCCCTCTCCCTCTCTCTTTCATGCTCTCTCTTACTCGTAGTTCATGGGGGCTGGTGCGTAGAATCCTGGACATGCGTGCCCACCATGTTGTATCTCGTTCTTTCTCTTTCTCTCTTACTTTCTCCCCCTCTCTCTCTCTCTCGCTCTCTCTCGCACACACACACACTCTCTCTCTCTCTCTCTCTCTCTCTGATCCTCCTCTTGATTGTTTCAGAGTCTCTTTGCCAAAATAGTAGGCCTTTAAGAAGGTAGTTTTTTTTTTTTTTTTTTTTTTTTTTTTTTTTTTTTTTTTTTTTTTTTTTTTTTTTTTTTTTTTTTTTTTTAATCAAATCAACCAACACACATAGCAATGCTCTCCTAGCATGCATCATGCTACCGAGCGGTGAACCACATGGGACCGAGGGGGTTGTTGCTCCTCTTCCCTATCCTAGGCCCAGGGCCTATTCCTACCCTTCACTAGGGCTGGCCTCTTGCCATCGCAAACCCCTAGGGTTGCCCACGGTTTTCGCACTCAAAAGTGCACCGTACCTAGCGCTCAAGCGCCTATTCCCATGGCCCGCTCCTACACCACCGGAGCGGGTCCTTGGCCGCCGTGCCCGTTCCTAGGGCAGGCACTTGCCACGTGGCCCGGCTGGCCGCAGCGGAAGCACGAGCCCCGAAACCCGCGGCAATTGGCCGTGGGCGGGGGGGCCCGCTTGGGTAAAAACGGCAACGGCGCGTTGTTTCCGCCGCGGTTGGCACGAGCATATCCGCTTGCCGCACGGTCCATTGCCGCCATGTCTGCGACCGCCTGCTTGAAGGGTCGAGAAGTCAGCAGGCTCTTCTGCTGGTACAACTTGAAGCGCTTCGCCGTGCGGAAGTCGGATGCGTCCTCCACTTGAAGCACCTCGAAACGCCCCGAGAT